CCTAGCGTTCCCTCCCATCCCACCATCAGCTCCAACGTCGTCGCCCACCTTGGCCGAATCCTGCACTGGCGACGAACTCCGCAAAGGTGAACGGAGCACTACCCCGCCCCTTGGATCTCTTCATTGAAGAGATGCGAATCCTGGAGCGGAAGCAGACTTTCGTTGCTATTTTGCGGGATACAAAATCGAATTTTACAGAAGAAAAATACAGGGGAAATTCTACCTTTGAAGAATGTTTCTTCAACTAGTTTTCCTCGAACACCACCATTGTGTCTTCCTTGCTATCCTCTTTGGTTTCGAGAACCGTGCTTGTGGGAGCATTTTTATTTGGAATGAGAGGGCAAAATTGAGAGAAAGCGCTTGATCGAGAGAAAACTGGGAGAGTTTTTTCTGTACTGTTCTGTGTTCTGTATTTTTTGCAGAACTGCAAAGAAAACAAAACAGTGACGTGGGGTAACTTGTAGAGGAAGGCTAACTGCTTGCTGGCTGGGAGCTGTATGAGCGGTAACGTCCACGTACGGCTCTGTGAGAAGGGCGGTGGACAGAAATAGCCTTGTTGTACCTCACTCTCGTCTTCAATGGGGTCTGCTCTTTTTTTTTTGGGAGAGTATGCCAATATGATCTTAATGAGGTGCGGGGCTTTGCATCTGACATTCGTTGGGCTTCCCTCTTCGGGGGCCTGCGTCCCGGCATTTTTGTGCAATAAACCCCTCCGGCCGAAGACTAGTGGTAGGTGGTCCCGCGGAGCTTTCGGAGAAGGGTAGCCTAGTGTGTAAGCACAGCAATGAACCGCGGCGAACCCTCAGACGACCTATCCAAGATTAGGGGGGAGATCCTCAGTAGTGGTGACCCTTTCACTCTTCCACGGACTGATACATGTACCGAATGCTCATACGGGAAAGTTTAACTCCCCACGTCACACTAACCTCCCACTCCCGTGCAATTTTGCAGGGGAGTTTAATATTAATAATATTAATAATATATATATATATATATATATATTTATATAAATAATTAATATATATATGATATATATATATAATAATTAAAATATAAAATTATGATTAATTAATAAATAATTATTAATTATTAATCAAATTAATAATTAATATATATATATATATATATATATATAAATCAAATAAATAATTAACACTTAATTATTTATCATAAAAATAGAATCATATTCTATAACATTTCTCTCGTATAACCTATAGTTCTAATGTACATCTTATGCACATTATTTTTGACCTATAGTTTTAACATGAATCTTATTCATATTAATTTTATTTGAATCTCATTCAAATAATTTCTCTCATAATATATAGTTTTAATTYARAATTAACTATATATATTATAATGTATCAATATACATATAATCCCTTAAGTAATTTGAACATTTCAAATTCTTCCAAAACCTTAATCCTCGTTGTACCCGTTATGAGCTAGCAAGGGGACCTAATGGACCTACAGATCAGAAGCTCCAACGATGCGAGATTAATCAGTCAAACTCATTGACCGAGTTAATCAACATTCGTTAACTACGGGTCACTCCACTAGAGACCCGCAGTTGCACTCTTCTCACTGCAGAATGTTTTCGTGTCCATGGATA